AAGTTTGTTTATCATCGTGATTCCATGGAGGTTGCTGACGCTCTGAAGGCTTCCATTGAACATCTATCATCCAGTAGAATTTATATTATTACCAAAAGTGCCTTTCAATCACGTATAACTCAGAATAATCATATTCTTCATCAAATTCTTCGTGCCATTTTGTTTTTAGGAAAATAAGGCTTAGTATTTCATGTCGATGCCGAAGATGTAAATTCCTGGCAATTTTCTGTCCACCTGAAACATTATGCTGAAAATGATGAAATACTGAGAGCTCATTCGTATCATCCCAAGGAAAAAAAATGCTACATATTTATCTCCCCACTCACAAAATGACATCATCAATGTCATAAGATATGGTGTACTTCGAATAAACGTTATTGAGGAAGTAAAAAGGCTGGATTATACCCTGTTCTTGCTGATCAAGTGTCTTCTCATAATTTGGAATATTTACCAATATGTCTCTGCTTTGTAGATGACAACTTTCCAATTAGGGAAACATTTATTGACTTTATTAAGCTACAGAGGATCAGAGCAACAGACAACGTATGCGAAATAACAAAGATATTGATTTGGATTATCTATAATCATAATCAAGGATATGATAGAGCGTCCACCATTGCTGGCGAAAGATCTGGTGTCTAAAAACAAATTAGAGATAGGAAAAGCAATGCCTTGTACACTCGTTTTAAATTCATGTTCAGTTCCACCAATACGAAATTGTGTCGATCAAGTTAAAGTAATAACTATTTGGATTAAATCTTCATCTAAACGTGGGGGAAGGCAACTATACTATAGGCCCGGCATGGCCAGGTGGTTAGGGCGCTCGGCTCGTAATCTGAGAGTCGCGGGTTCGAATCCCCGTCACACCAAACATGACAACCTCCGCCTTTGCCTGGTCCCAAGTCCAGAATGAGAAAGGAGGAGGGTTGGGCGCGGGGCTAGCAACTTGTTCCGTTTTAGTTTGTACCTCTCTTTTCTCTGTAATAGATAATATTTACTTTGTCTGAGGGAATGTTGCGGTATACCCATGTAGAAAGGGTCTATGATTGCAATGTCCTTTGCTGGCCGAGTGGATGTCTGAATTTTATAGCCAACGTATGCTGTAAGATAGTGATCAGTCACTGGTGACATTGTTGCTTAGAGAAGATATGATGTTTCTTGCTAGATCGGAGCTTATATCCTTTCAAAGCTCTACTCGGTTATGGTCGGCGTGAATAATTCAAGGGAGATAAATCCCAGGAGAAGAAATCTGTTGTTTACTTCACGTGTCCAGCAGAGGCGACTGTCCAGTGTCTTATGCAAGTATGCACACTTTTTGTAGTTGTGTCCGTAATAAATATTGTTGCCACTTTTCTTCAAATGTGCCTTAGTCTGTTTATTTGTCATACAGCTTAAATCTTAGTCACGTTTTCAAATTTAGATTAACTCTAAAAATATTTCCAGTTTGATCCTTCCGTTATAAAGCAGACCTATCTAATACTTGGAAGGGAATCAGTTTATCTAAAAATATTACACTACGTCTTATCAACGCAAGTATATTTGTATATGTGTGTGTACACTAATTTTCGTAGTAAATCACGAAACAAGTTAGCAATTTATTAGAAACGGATATCAGATATTATGGTAGTCACAGTTGTAATGATTTACTTGTGTTGAAGAAAAGAAACTGAATATTTAAAACACAGGGAAATAATCTTTCTTCATCTTTCAGGAGAAGACAATTCCAGGAAAACGTCAAGCAGCACTTCTCTATAATGACTGGAGAGAGATCTTGATACGAGAAGATCTGGATAAAGATTACCAATACTCTCTCAACACTGCGAGAGCTAACCGTCATTGATAAACACAACAGCGTTATCTCATCCATAGCGCATGCGCAACCCACTTCGTTATTGGTCATGTCAACAGAAAGTACTCTCAAAACACCACCAGAACCGACAATGAAAAATATGGCCATCCACCTTTAAATAGTGTTTTACTACACGACAATATTTCCTTTGAAAAATGGCATGTGACACCAAAGTAGAATAGCCCCAGAAAATTATAAATAGAGCTAATGGAACTTAGCCGTATTCCAAGACCAACGTTCTATTATTAAACTACACATACGGCTGAAACTTGTATGTAAGAAACTTTTTTTTGAAAATGCATAGTGAACATTAACTAAATTAAAAGATACAGGAAACACTGAATACGCTTTGCATACCACAGTATCACTAACTCTTAGTTTTAAATATTATACTACAAATACAGTGTCGAACTAGTAAGTTTTTTTGTTTGTTTGAAGTTAAGCACAAAGCTACACAATGGGCTATCTGTGCTCTTCCCACCACGGGTATCGAAACCCGGTTTCTAGCGTTGTAAGTCCACAGACGTACCGCTGTGCTACTGGGGGCGAATTAGTAAGAAGAATAAAAAAAAGGGTTAAATATGGTAGGCACAAAACGAAAAGTTAGTAAACGCTGTATTCCCGAAGTAAGAAACCTTCCAAATGGGCAACTTTTGTCTTTATTGTGTTCTCAGTCACCGATTTTCGACAGATTAGACTGGACTCAAACTGGACAAAAAGTTCGAGAGGGAAGAAATTTCGGAGCTAAAAATGAAAACACTGTGTTAGATACAATAAAATCAATCGTAATTTACAACAAACACAACGAGTTGAAAATAATGGACATTGGATGACACTTTTCTAGAAACATTCTGCAGAAAAGTTTGGAGGAACATTCTATTTTAGACTAGGAGAGAGTATGTCATTATACACACAGAAACAATATAACATCACTCTTCTCAGAGTGCACGTGCTACCCACGTCTATGGTTACCCCAGATGAAAGTATGGAGAGTATATCATCCACACATTTCTAATTTCTAAGAACTTAGGAATAAAAGCCTTTTGCACAATACCAGGGCTCATCAGACCAGTTGGCATTGGACAGATATATACTAGTGGTCTAGGTAGAGCTGAACTGCGAGAAAGACAGATATACTAATGGTCTAGGTAGAGCTGAACTGTGAGAAAGACAGATATACTAGTGGTCTAGGTAGAGCTGAGCTCTGAGAAAGACAGATAT